TATAAAAAAAAACCAATCATACTAGGAATTTGTATAAGCAATTCTCTAGATAGCGATCCAGCTCTTGTTCAGACACAGAAGAATTCTGTCTATTCAGTAATATTTAGGCCTATCTTATAGGCCTATCTTATAGGCCTATCTTATTCCCATATTTGTTTGTTTGGGGGTTTTGGGTCCCAAAGATCTTAAGAATGGAGTAATTATAATCCTAGAACCGGAGACTGCTGAATATGAGTCCAAAACCAAATCTATTCTCAAAATTCAAAAATAGAAGCCAGTGAAAAAATTCCATCCAAATTTTAAATAATCTTAATGACAAGATTTAAGCAAAAGAATCTATTTCTCAAGTCTTTCTCCTACACGAGGCCCTCAACATCCCAAGCTAAAAATTCTGGATTCATCTTCAGGGTCTAATGTAAGCTAYTGTTTTTCACTGCCATTGCTGCTGCCTACCCTAAGTATCTTCTCACCATTACAGCCTTTCCAAACACTTAAACCTATGGGTCTCCAAGATGTTCTTATTATGTCAGCAAATAAGAAAAATACACTGAAAAGCTTGCATGCCGATTTATGACATGAAAGAGAAGCAACAGAGAAGATAGGCATAAAAGGACACAGGTTAAAAAAAAAAAGTAACAGTGATAAGCAGTAAGGTCAAGAATGGATCAGGAGGTAAACTGCACAAAATAACAAATATATGGAGAGAGACTGGATTTTATGAACTTTGTGGCTCAGGCCATTTATATTTAACAGTAGAATATATATAATGCCATTTATTTAACAGTGTTTTATATGATTTTAAGTATTGTAAAACTATCAATCTTCAAAATAACACCAATGAGATATGTATACTATTATCTTTGTGGTATAGAAGTAACTGAAGCAAAGAGCAAGTAATTGCCTAAGCTCTTAGTGTTAGTGTTCAACCAGGAAAACAAAAATCACTTCAGATATTTCAGAGAGAAATATTACTGAGAGAATCATTACAAAAGTATAAGGGTTGGAGAAGCAAAAAGAGGTAACTTTAATTATTGATATTTGTGTTGATACTAATATGGAACAAGAAAAGCTACCRTCTATCATTAAAAGGACAAAAGGCAAATAGTGTTATAAAAAAACCACAATTGTGATGCTTCTGAGGCTTTTGGAATATAACTATGGCATTATTGGAACTATCTCTTCTAGGTGTATTTCAGGAAGTCAGCAACCAGCCTTTACCTTGCCCCTACCATTCCTGGATCCAGGATAGAAGAGAACAACACTCCTAAGGCTGCTGAACAGAAGGGAAAAAATGTTTTCTGTCTTCCTCTTGCCTTTTAATCTTCCATTAGCAGAACTGAAATCAGTAGGCAAGTGAGTCTGGCAAATGCTTTTTAGGATGMCAGTACCCTGTGGTACACAAGAGAGAGTAAAAGAATGAAAATGGAACTGAGAAACAACTAGCACAAATAACTGTCAAGTGACAGAGTTTAAATTTCTTTTTTAAAAAATTTTTATTGTTGGTTGTTCAAAACATTACATAGTTCTTGACATATCATATTTCACACTTTGATTCAAGTGGGTTATGAACCCCCATTTTTACCCGTATACAGATTGCAGAATYGCATTGGTTAAATTTCAAGCAGTTGGCTCCTGAGTCCATACTCTTAACTACAATAGTATGTTATGACACTATGACATGCTATAACAACAGGATTTCACACATTTTTAAATTTATAGCTGTTGACTAAGGCAGGTTGGCAACAAAGAAATTCTAAGGATTGAGTTTATTCTACAAATGTTAAGTGTCTACTTTGTGCCAGACATTGTTACAATGGGTATAGGATGATGCACAAACAAAAAGAAACAAAAGTTAAATTGCTCCTTTTTTCTTATTCTAGATTGAACAAAATTCCCTGGGAAGGATTCTAGGTAGCCTGCCTTGAATCATGTGACCACCTGTTGAACTAGCACTTTAGCTAAGGGGCAAGTAGTGGGGGAAATAACCAAGTGGAAAGGACCACTAGAAATCTGAGACAAGGATTTTAGTGCAGATAGTTTATCTAAGGGATGCAGGAAACATCAGTGGAAGGTGAAGAAGAAAGAAAAAKTAGGGAATACAGTCATTGAGGGGTACGGTATCAAGCAGCTACAACTGCTAAAGCCTGGAGCATAATCTCAGGGGAAAACTCTGGGAAATAGTGTAAAACTCAGACTTAGCTAGGATGTGTTAGAACRAATTCTTTAGTGGGTGAAAGCTGCTAGGATGGGAAGTTAATTCTAAGGCATTTTCAACTGCGTTGACCACATGGACACATGGACACAGCTGCCTTCCACAATTTAGGAGAAAGCCCTCAAGCAAAGAAATGAACATTGAAATAATAAAGGTCAGAGAGGCAGGGGCAGAGATCAGTCGTGTCTGCCACACTTGAGTTTTTCCATTGGGTAAATATTTCCTGTACCTTATGAACAAAGTTGTTAAGAATTTCAAAAGAAATAATACCTGTGAAGGAGCTTTATAAAGCAGAAAGTATAATATCAAAAATTATTGTTTAGAAGTTTCTTGAAAGGCAGGAATGTATAACATCATTATATATTTCATAGGGTCTAGTGCAGTGCTATGCATGTGTCAAAGTCACAAATATTTACTTGATGAATTTCTAATACATGAACATATTTTGTAGGTTAACAGGTAAAATATTTTTAGCCTATAATTTAAAATAATAACTCATTTCCTAATTTCTAAAATAATTTTTCATCTCTTTGAGCAATTTAAAGTAGCATGGACCTGTCTATTCCTTTGTCAAACATTCTTAAAATCTACATCATTGTAGAAAAATCTTAATTATCTATCCAATAACCATTCTCTTCTTCCTTAAAAAAAAAAATACTCTAGCTGGGCATGATGGCCCACACCTCTGATCCTGGGGAGCTATGTTCAATCTATTTTTGAARATCATAACATTCTATCTCAATAGATAGCCAGAAGTAATTTTGCACCCAGTGCAAGCTCCAGCATTACCTGGGAACTACATCTACTTTTCTGTACACTTCACACTTTGATGATAATTAAATCATGGTAGAAACCATATCCTATACAAAATGTCAGATAATGGATAGCTTCAGAATGCTTATCTTTTAAAATGTATATAGTACTAGTTGAATCAAACAACATCTGTCAAGTCACTTGGATCTAGGGTTGGAATCCAATATACATGAAGGGTGATAACCCTAGTTATCACTCTGGGGTAAGACTCCAAGAAGCACAGCCCAAAATGGGAATATAGACTAGAATATCATCTGGTTGGCTGAAAAATCCACAAGAACTATTGGTACCCGTTAGCACTTTAAAAAAGGAAATGAAGCCTCTCTCTATAGGAACATAACACCCAATTCTTCAAATTATTTCTAAAATTTCTCAGATAAAATGCATACCAAAAATCAAAGATAAAGGATGCAAAAAGAGTCAAGCATGAGTCAGACCAGCAGAAATGACAGACAAAAGAAAGAATATACATAATTTTAAAAACCACTATTTTGCTATGTTCATGGAAGAAAATCAAAAATTTTACCAGAGAACTGGGAACTATAAAAGGTGACTTAAGGTTTGAAAAAGAACAACGTAAGAATTATAAAATCATATCTAAAGAAAGAATGCGTGCAGGTTAGAAGAATCTAAAATAAGAGGAGATACACATTTAAAAATTAAAATTACTGAAGATAGAAGGATACAGGGAGAGACCTGATGTGTATTGAATTGGAGCCCCAGAAATGGAACAGTTTAGATAACGGCAGAAATGATATGTGAAAACATAATGGCCTAGAATTTCTGAAAATTGATTTAAAATGTTAATTATAATTTAAGAAGCTCAGTAAAGTACAAGCAAGATTTTTTTTAAATGCATTTTTTTCATTGAACTGAAATGCACATACGAAATGGAAAGCTTTGGCTTTCAGTGTAGATAGCATTTTCAATAAATTTGTTAAGTATAAAAAAAACCTCAAAAATCTACTGCCTGAAATGTACGTATTTTTGTTCAAACAGTGATACTGGTTAACAGTATCTGCTGATAATGACGCACAATAACTAGCAAAGGTGCAGGCTTTCATATTAGCCACTCCCATCCTGCCCCTCCCTCCACAAGCCCAAGCATACTACCACGCAAGCATACACACGCCCGCACGCACGTACGGGCGTGTGGACGACTCAGGAAATCGGATTTCTCTCCCGTTACGCTCGGTGGAACCGACGCTGGGAAGTTTCCGAGAAGCTTTCGGGCTGACTTGGTATTGGTGGTGGTGGCGTTCCCCTTTAAGCGATGTTAACTGCGTCCTTCTCCAGATCCTTTTGAGGAGAGATTGAAAAGGTGGAAGTGGAGACGAAAAATAGCCCTGCAATTGCGAACTAAGTCAGTAGATGTTTGTGAGGACCTGGCATGGTCGACAAGACGGGAGGGCGTTTCCCCCCCACTCCCCGCCGCGCTGTATTTATTTGGTGCTTCAGTGTTTGGTCAAGTTGAGGCAGAGCGCCTGGTCCCCCGAGTTCCTGACTCAGGTTTCCACAAAAGCGTGGTCGTACAAAACACCCCGAAACTTTTCCACACGCTCAGTTGTCTCACACACACACACAATTTGTGCTTCTCAGGAATYGGCCAACTGAATGAACACCAACTCTGCAAAAGAACAATAGCTGAACACATCCCACCTTCCCGGGAGAAACAGGAGGCAAGACACCCTAAAACCGCACTCCCCTTTGCCGGGTGCTTAAAAACAAAAAAAGGCCGGGCAGTCGCTGCACGCTGCATGCCGGGATGAGTAGTTTCTCCAAGCCGCCAGGCGCCGGGTTCAGAACGCAGGTCAGGTGGACTCCCCCCACGGAGGACTACCGTTCCCGTGGGGCCTCGCGGCAGAGTGGAGGAGGCGGGGTGGGAGGAGATGCGTCGTGCTTGCGCAAGTTCAGGGGCTGGAGGGAGGCGGGGGAGCCGCGGTCCAACTGCTGAAGTCTCCATGTGACAGTGAGCGGGGTTCCCTCTCCAGGCGCCACACGACTCTCGGTCCCAGCCACAAGCGCTGTCCACTGTTCGTCGCCGACGGAGACAAGCAGGCCGGGGATACTTGGTGTTTGGCCGACGACCGCCGAACTTGGGGTGCAGAGTGCATTGCCGCCGCCGGGTAGGGCGCCTGAGGGACCTGGCCGGGAGAGGCGGAGCGGGGATTTCTGTCAGCGCCAGCGCCCCCGAGCACATAGACATGAACGGCTTCACGCCTGAGGAGATGAGCCGCGGCGGGGACGCGGCTGCCGCCGTGGCTGCGGTGGTTGCGGCTGCAGCGGCCGCCGCCTCCGCCGGGAACGGGAACGCTGCAGGCGCCGGGGCTGAGGTACCCGGCGCTGGGGCGGTCTCAGCGGCTGGGCCCCCGGGGGCGGCCGGGCCGGGCCCCGGGCAGCTATGCTGTTTACGGGAGGACGGTGAGCGGTGCGGCCGAGCGGCTGGCAACGCCAGCTTCAGCAAGAGGATTCAGAAGAGCATCTCCCAGAAGAAGGTGAAGATCGAGCTGGATAAGAGTGTAAGTGACCTCGGCCCGCCCCGCGGAGTCCCGGCAGCTGTGCAGAGACTGTTGGCGGGGTTCACAGCTCCTGCAGACTGGCTGCAGTGCGGACTCGTGCGTTCTCCGTTAGGGAGTAAACAACAAAGTCGCTGCAACTCGGACCGCCAACCACAACGTATGCACACGCATGCAGTGGTTCCAGTCCTGCTAGTCCCCCACCCCGACTCCCGCTGCCCGCCTCTCCCGCGCACTGCCTTCCCTCTTCCTCCTTTTGCTGTGATCTGGAAACGAAACAAAGGGGACCGCCGCACCGAGGGCCCAGAGTAGTTTTCCTGTAGCCCGGCAGTCTTCTGGAATGGAGGCGCCTTTGTTTTGCTGCCCGAGCTGGCGATTGGCCCCAGGGAGTTGTAGCTCCCCTCGTCTGAGGAAAGTGGAGTCCTGCAGGACCCTGCACCGCAGTCGAGGAAGATCTGTTCTTTTCGATGTTGGGTCTTTTCTGAACGCAGAGTGAGAGAGGAGCCAGCTTGTAAACGATGTTTGCGATGTCAGCTCTTAGGGCAGCTGCTCCCAACGTGGAGAGCWCGTAAGCCTCTGCGGTTTTGCAGTCGGTTTGGCAGCCATCGGGATTTCTTTTTTCGTCCTTTTGCACGTCAGTTCTTTTGACCATCTATGAATTTTTTTAAATTTCTTTTTTTAGAAAGAACCATTGCTACCTTTCAGAGCTCTGGCTTGTGTAAATAAATAACAAGATACAGAACATAGCACATGTCCTGTATGTTTTTTAATTTGAACTTAGCTTAGAAGTAAATTTAAATGCCTGTTAAATCAACCCTTAACTGTATTTTTTTTTAAAGGAGTTAACTTTCAGTAGTTGGAACCCAATATTTCATTGTCACTATACAACTCTCCAGAGTGTAAAGTTTTAGAAAAGTGTGTCACACCTTCTATCTATTGTAACAGTTCTTCATTGGTGTTCATGAGAAACATTTCAAATGAACCTGAATTTAAAATAATTGCTTTAATCKGAAAAATGTATTCAGATAAATATATACATTTAATAGAAAGAAAAATTAGTAACTGAAGCTTAAATATAGATTGTAAATCATACATTACTAAAATATGCTGTTCTTTAACTACAGAAAATACTGTAGCCAAATTGTGAGTGATATCATCTTTTCTATTGTGAGGAAGAATCTAGCATGAACTAATTCAGGTCATTCTCACTGTTTCTTCTCAAAACCCAGAGGATTGGAATTTATTATTCTCTATCTCTGCCTCCCTACCTTCCTCAATTGGTACCACCTCCTGCCTCCAACTGGCACCCCACCTGTCCAACCAATACCCTTTCCTCTTAACAGTATTGCCAGGCATCTTATGTTTTAACAAGATAAAGAATTTAAGAGTAGGAAGAGTGCTGGAGTTGTGGCTCAGTGGCAGAGCACTCACCTAGCACGTGGGAGGTCCTGGGTTCCATCCTCAGCACCACATAAAAATAAATAAATAAAATAAAGGTATTGTGTCCAACTACAACTAAAAAATAAAAAAAAATAAAAAGAATAGAAAGAAACATGCCATTGTATTAACAATGACTTGTTTTTGACTTTTTTATTTGTAATAATTCATTGTGGCCTATGCATTTTACTAAAGTATAGATGCATTTTTACTGTAATCATAAGCAGTCTGTGAAACTTTTCTATTTCAGGCAAGGCATCTTTACATTTGTGATTATCATAAAAACTTAATTCAAAGTGTCCGAAACAGAAGAAAGAGAAAAGGGAGTGATGATGATGGAGGTGATTCACCTGTTCAAGACATTGATACTCCAGAGGTAGAAAAAAACTTTTGTATGTTAAATATAAACCATAAGTATTCTATTCCAAAGCTTTTCTAGAAAGAGATAAACAATTTTTTAATGTTTAAAGCAAAGTTTAATATAGCCAGTTAACACTCTCCATGTATGTACACAATTTGAATGTTTACATCTGAATTGACAGTTTTTATAGCTCTGCAACAATCAAATTGAATTTTTATTGTTATTATGCATATCAATGATAAATTTTCAAAAAATTTCTGAACTAATTAATGTATGTTGCTTTTTTCTAGGTTGACTTATACCAATTACAAGTAAATACACTTAGGCGATACAAAAGACACTTCAAGCTACCAACCAGACCAGGACTTAATAAAGCTCAACTTGTTGAGGTATATATGAGTTTTGAACTATATAAACTTCAAATGAGCCTGTATACACAAACAAGAGGTGATGAAACAAATACTGCTAACAAAAGTATTAATGTAGTATATGTAACTATGCATTTTGGTTAGAAAGATCAAAGTTATTAAGAAATGTATTGTAGAAAAATCTAGATGCCTAGAAACATTTGCTACTTAGGAAATTTCTATATGTAATGACTACTTAGTGGATTATATACAGATTGTGTACAATGTCTTCACATAAAGGCTTTCACAATCGAATGAAAATTTTTTTCCTCATTCTAGAAATATTAGTTTTAAAATTCCATTTAATCAGTTAATGTTTATTGAACACCTGATTGAGGCATAATAAATAAATATGCCATTATTTTTTTTTAGAATTTATTTTTTGAAGTTTCTGATGGAAGAGTCTACAAATGAGTCTTTAAGAGATGTTTCCATAACTTGCTGATTTAACTATTCAGAATTTGTCCTTGTTTGTTTGACTATTAACATCTATGTTTTCTTCACATCAAGAGAGGCAAAAACTTATCCAAGCTTTTACTTATAGTTTGCTTTTATATAGGATTTCTGGTCCTCTCATTAGTTTTGAAAAGTTCACTGATTATATGAACCAGAACCAAAAAATCTGAATATTTTTAAGATACATATAGATTTATATATTTACATTTTAATCATTTAAAATAAATTTTTTTCACTTACTAGACAGAATAGACATAAATGAATCAGTTTTCTCATATTCTGTAGTTTGAATTTAGTAGTTATTTCAAAATTTTCTAAAATGTGCATATTAGCTGGGTGTGATGGCTCACTCCTGTAATCCCCTTGGGAGGTTGAGGCAAGAGGATTGTAAATTCCAGGCCAGCCTGGACAACTTAATGAAGTGGACCTTGTCTCAAAATAAAAAAGGGCTGGGGATGTGGCTTAATGGCAGCATCCCTGAGTTCAATCCCCAGTACCAGAAAAATAAATAAAATAAAATATTCATATTAATTAAGATAAAAATAAATAGAACTTTTTCAGTTCTTTGACAAAATTTTTTTGAATGCTGTTAAAATCCAAGATATTTGCTATTTAGCCACAATTTCTTTTCTATTTCTTGCCTACATAACAAAAATAAAACTTTTTTCTTTATATTTGATTTTAAAGATCTAGTCCATTTTTGATTGTGCAATAACATAGATATTGCCTACCATGAAGTAGATCAGATACAAATTGAGTAAAGTCACCTTTGTTCTGCAACATGTATATGCAATGTGTATTTATTTATTTTTTTTTTTTAAGAGAGAGAGAGAATTTTTTTAATATTTATTTTTTAGTTTTAGGCGGACATAACACCTTTATTTGTATGTGGTGCTGAGGATCAAACCCAGGCCGTATGCATGCCAGGCCAGCGCCATACCGCTTGAGCCACATCCCCAGCCCTGCAATGTGTATTTAAATGCATACATATTTTAATGCAAAATTTAAAACTGAAAATTTTGATAATCCAAACTTATAAAAACAGTTATATTATTCTAGAGCTATTTTTTTTAATAAATAAGAAATCTAGATTCCAGGTATGCTTATCATCCTCCTCCTCCTCCCATTCGCTCTATTCTACTATTGTTAATGGTAGTCCACACATTAGATTAGCACCACAAAAAGACAAGGAAGCAAATATACAGTCTTCAGTGAACATTCCCCTTTCTCCTTTCATTTTCTGTTCATAAGCTGTGTTCAGAAAAAACTTCAAGGAACCAGGCTGGGGTTGTGGCTCACCTAGCACATGTGAGGCCCTGGGTTCCATCCTCAATACCACATAAAAGTAATTAATAAAATAAAGGTATTGTGTCCATCTACAACTAAAAAATAAATACTAAAAAAAAAAAAAAACCTTCAAGGAATCTTTATAAAGAATAATTCTAATAAATGAATAAATATAAGTGGCAGCAAAGATATTTGTAAACTATTTCATGGTTTCACTAATATAAAAAATTTGAGAACTTCATTTTATTATTTTTCTAAGTTGTAAACCATTCCTAGTGTGATACATGTGGACTCTTCAGTTTTTATCTGATGCATATTTTAAGTTTAAAAGTAGAAATATTTACTTCCTGATCTAGACCCAGTTGTAAAATTTAAAATATAAGGAAATATACTGCTAATCAATGTATATTTAATTAAATAGGGTCAAAGGGTCCTTTAAAATCAGACTGTCTTTTGTTTATAACATCTTATTTTTGTGTTTTTTTGTCCTGTTGCTGTTTTGTTAAATATAGTTTAATCTTTAAAAGAAATAACTCTTATCATCACATAGCACTTTTGAACATTTGGTGAAACAGTACCTTTTACCTATTTTATGAAGCCTGTTATATCTAAAATTTAATTTCCTCGATTTTTTTTTCTTTATAGATAGTTGGTTGCCACTTTAGGTCTATTCCAGTGAATGAAAAAGACACCTTAACATATTTCATCTACTCAGTGAAGAATGACAAGAACAAATCAGATCTCAAGGTTGATAGTGGTGTTCACTAGGAGAGATGGCGTTAAGTCTAATATGTGGATGTTCAGATGTTAAGACTGTTTACTGTTTTTTCACATGTAGAAATGTTCTTTGTGTATTTTTTCTACAGAGAATTTTCTCTGGTTTTATTTCCTTTGTTTCTGATTCTAATAATTAGCTGGAAACTCATGTAAAATGAGCTTCCTAGATTAAAAATATTTTAAATAAAGGTTATTACTATTATAGTTGCTTCGGTGTATTTATTTTGTGAAACATGATTTTTAAACTGACTTTAGGAATCAATATTAATTGAAATTCTAATGTAAAGAGCCTACATTGATGTAACCCTTTTTTAAAATTCTAAGAAATTAACAGCTTAAGTAGCAAGTGTAATTTACATTGGCTTTCACTGGGGAAGTTTGATTTGGAATTAAGGATATCCTAAATAGCATTATTTTTAAAAGTGTTTTATAGTGCTGTCAGAAAATAGACTTTCAGTAGGATGCAACATCTTTTTATTTTCTTTGTTTGTTATTATTACTTGAGGTAGTATTAAAAAATAGTTTCATTTATGTGCCCACCTCTTTCCAAAGAAGACATAATGTGCCAATAAAGACAAACACAATGCTGAAAGTTGAAATAATAATATAGAAATAAATTTTGTCTTAAGGAAAATTATTTATGTAGCATGAAAATAGATAATACTTCTGCAGTGCCCCTTAATTTTCAGTCATGTTCTGTGACATTTGTGTTGCAAATTATGACCGAAGTGTGGAGAGGTCTAAATGTATAACAAACTCATCCTTTAAAGTTTTGTTGTATGTAGCTCCAACTTGATTTATATTGCATTTCCTTTTGATGTTTCATTCTGTCAGATTCTGCCATCTTCTGCTTTTCCTCGGATTGTATTGCTTAGATAAATTCTTAGTTAATAATTGCAAATCAGATTTATAGCTTGTGATGTGAAAAAAACAAAAACAACAGCTCCAGTGAAATGTTCTATGATTGGCTGCAAATTTTATGCTGAAAATGGAAAAGATCACTAATGGAGCTCGAGTTTCTCAAGGTTGTCATTTGAACCTGATAATTGTTTGTTGTGGAGACAGTGCTGAATTTGTAGGAAGATTAGCAGCATCTATGAAGTCCACACAGCAGGTACCAGTAGCATTGTTAAGGTGTGACAACCAAACATTACCAAACATCCCCATGGAGACAAAATTAACCACTGGGTAAGGACCACTGGTGTAGCTAAAGTACTAACTATATCTAAAGAAATGGTCTATTAGGTGAATAAATAAGATAAAGGTGTTGTGTCTATCTACAAATTACAAAAAAAAAAAAATGTTTAAAAAAAATTGACAGTAGGCTTCCTTTTTCTTATTTAAAAAAAAAGTGTGAAACTTGAAATTATTTGTTTACATTTAACTAGCTCTATGAACATAACCTTTGGTAATGTTAATTTTCAGAAACTTTGCATAAGAATGTAATTATTCAAGGAAATTAAATCATTGTTAGAGAAATTTAAAACAAAAAAATGGGATCTTATGACCTGAGACTTGTAAGAAACTCATCAAGATTGAGTTAAGTTTTATATAATGATTTTAATTTCCTTGCTATTGGGTTGTAAAACTTACAAATTAATTAAACCTTTTAATCTATATCAGAAATAGATAAATAAGTACTCCTATCTACAAGGGTGCGCATTGATTTTATTATTAGAGCATCAAGGAAAGGATTTAAATTTTACTGCCTTGGACTAGAAAAAAGAAGAACGCATACCCTATAAAGGGGCTCAAAAAATAAGTCAGTTATTTGATAACTAAAAGAAAAATTTTAGGGAAGGCTAAAGAGTAATGCCTAAAATACATTTATTTTTAGAAATAAGCTGTATATTATTTCCATATGAATTGATTTTTTGAAGTTGAAGGGAAATTTTTATAATAAATATTTTTATAATAAATTTAATAAAAATGTTCAGTTTATTGTGGTATTTAGTAAATTGAGAATGTTGTACAACCACTAGTTCTAATTTCAAAACTTTTTTCATCTCCCCCCCAAAATAGTCATATATAATCATTCCCCATTTCTTCTCTTCATCCCATCTACTTTTTGTTCCCATAAATTTGCTATTATGGATATAATATATAAAGGGAATCATACAGTATATGTTCTTTATTTTAAACATTTTTAGTTGTAGATGGACATAATCCTTTATTTTTATGAGGTGCTGAGGATTGAATCCAGTGCCTCACACATGCTAAGAAAGCACTCTACCACTGAGCTACAATATGAATAGTTTATTTTGTTTTGCATTGTTTTCAGGGGTTCATCCAACTTGCAGCAAGTATCAGTACCTTGTCCCTAGATGAAAACCATAGATGAAAAACATGCCATTGTATCTGTCAGTAATTTGTTTACCAATGCATCCATTGATGAACATTCAGTTTCTGCCTAGGAATAATGCTGCTATAATCATTCTTGTACATATTTTTCTGTGGATATAGGTTTCATTGCTTTTGAGTACCCTTCAGTAGAATCACTGAGTCATGATAATTCTATATTGAACTTTTTAAGGAACTTCCAAATTTTCCAAGAGGCTAAACCATTTTACATTCCCACAAACCATGAGAGCTACTCTTTCTTTTTTTAATTAAAGCCATCCTACTGGGTGTGAATGACCTTATTGTAATTTTGTTTTATATATTCTTAATGATCAATAGTAATGAACATCTTTTCATGCACTTGCTGCCACTTGTATATCTTCCTAGAAAAAAATGTTTATTCAAGTCCTTTATTCACTTTAATTCGGTTGCTTCTTTTATGTATTGTATGAGTTCTTTATTCTAAAGGACTTCTTTATTAAACCCTTATCAGATACATGATTTGTAAATATTTTCTTCCACTCAGTTCCTTTTTCACATTTGATAATTTGATGCACAAAAAGTTTTTATTAAATGTTTATGTAGTCCAATTTAATAGTCCAGTTTCTTCTGTTGCTGTACTTCTGCTATAAAATCTGAGAATCCACTGCCAAATTCAACATCACGAAGATTAATGCCCATGTTTTCTTCTAGGAGTTCTATAGTTTTAGCTGCTAAATTTAGATTGTTGAACCAGTGTACTGTCAAACAGGTAATGAGGTAGAGGGGGTCCAACTTCATTCTTTTGCACGTGGTTAGCCAGTTTATCCCAACACTTTTTTTTTTTTTTAAGAGACTGAATGATGTTGGCACCCTTGTTGAAATCATTGGCTAGAGTTGTTGGGGTTTATTTTTGTATTCTCAATTCTATTTCATTGATCTACACGTCTATTAGCCTTGTTTTGAAATCAGAAAGTGAGATTCCTACTTTCTTTGTTTTTCTTTCCAATGTTGTTTTAGCTGTTCAGGGCCCCTTGCAGTTCCATATGGATTTCAAGATGGATTTTCCCATTTTTTACTGAAAAAGTTATTAGAATTTTGATGGGATTGCATTGAATCTGTATACTGCTTTAAGATTGCCATTTTAACAATCTTAAGCACTCTAATCTATGGGTTGGTTTTCCATTTAGTTAGTCCTGCTTTAATTAATTTCTTGAGTGTTTTATAGTTTCAGTATACAAGTCTTTCATTTCCTTGGTTAAATTTATTCCTGGATATTTTGTTCTTGTTAATGCTATTTTACATAGAATTGTTTTCTTAATTTCTTTTCTGGATTATTTTTTAATGGTATAGAGAAACACAAGTGATTTTGTGTGTGTTGACCATTGAACTATGCTGAATTTATTAGTTCTAGGAGTTTTTTGTTTTGGTTTGGTTTTTGTGAATTCCATGGGATTTTCTACAGAGAGAATCATGTTAATATGCAAATAAAGGTAGTTTTACTACTTCCTTTTCAATTTGAATGCCTTTTATTTCTTTTTCTTGACAAATTGCTCTAGCTAGGACTACCAGTACAATGTTGAAGAACAATGGTAAAAGCAAACATTCTTATTCCTTTTTTCAAAAGTGATTTATTATGGAAAGAATATATGTGTGTTTATTGATAATTACAAGGAAGTTAAAAGTTGCAAAATGATCTTTGAATATTCCTACTTGTTCTCCAACAGTTGTTGCTCATTGTTTTGGTTTTTCTATGTTGCTTCCAGTTCTCTAATAATCCTGTACGATCAGTACCTAATCCCATATGTATATACATATTTTTTTTCAGGGAGTCCCTATGAGAGATTATAATGAGAAAAGAGGAATTGATACTATCAAGAAAAGATGAGCTATTGGTATTACTGTCAATCTGGTGCTTGCAACATGGGACTTATTGTAAAAACAAGGATATAGAAAGTCAGATATAAAGCTAAAATAAAGACATTGTTATTCAGAAAGCATTTAGCCCATGTGAACTATTTCAAATGTACAATTGTATTTCCTATCCAGAAAAGTCTTGCTTTTCTAAAAAGGAAATAAATTAGATGATGCTATTAAACAATGTGGTAAGATACCAGAATAAGATTGACCATATTTAAAATCTGGTTTACTGCTTATTGATAATGTAACATTAGCTAAGCTATGTAATTATGTAATTGCTCTAAACCTTGGGCTTTTTTTTGGTACCAGGGATTGAACTCTGGGGCATTCAACCACTTCGCCACATCCTCAACCCTATTTTATATTTATCAGAGACAGAATCTCACTGAGTTGCTTAGCACCCTGCCATTGCGGAGGCTAGATTTGAACTCATAATCCTCCTGCCTCATCTGTCTGAGCCTCTGGGATTACAGGTGTGCACCACCACACCCAGCTTAAACCTTGACATTTTTTGTTCATAGAAGAGGGATAAAGACAGTACTTACTTAGTTCAGTTGTTTTAAGACAGTATTTAGCATAATAGTAAATTTTTAATAAAAACTTAATTGTATTTTATAACTAAAATCTGTTGAAAAAAATAAAATATCTGTTCATTAGTTTGATGAGTAAATATTTGCCTTTAAAAACATATTGACCAAGTCCGGGAAAATTACATGAGGTAAACTCTGAACATTTATGTTTTACACTTACTTGTTAATATAAGAGAAGTATATATAGTTCTATAATGCACTCATTTCTAAAAGAATATTATTGAATTTCATGTTCCAGTTATTTCCAGAAAGGAAAGAATACAGTAAAGAAGAATCATCGGTAATCTATAAAATTTCATTTATTAAAATTTAGTTCTTAAAAAAAAGTTTTTTCTTGGGCTGGGGTTGTAGCTCAGTGGCAGAGTGCTTGCCTTGCACATATGAGGCTCTGGGTTCGATCCTCAGCACCACATAAAACAAATAAATAAAAATAAAGATTTTTTTTTTAAGTTTTTTCTCATCAGGTTTTGATTGCAAAAGAGACACAGTAAAA